GCCTGGATTATAATAACTTTTCAACAAACGTCTAAATTGAATCCGCCGTCCGGCTCTTCTTGCTCTTTTCGACATGAGAGATTTTTAGGTAATATTTATTTTAACAATATCTATAATAGAGTAGATGGAAGGGACGTGGTTTGAAGAATAAAAAGGCGAATGGTGCTCGTGGTCAACACAACACTCTTAAAGTAAGGAAGAGAAGAACTGTGCTCGTGTTCAAGCAGGCGTTCTGGAAAAAGAATGAAGATGATAAGAGGAAAGAGGTAAAGGAATTGTACACATATATATATATTATGAATTACTCTATATTGTTAAGTTTAAAATTCATACACTAAATTTAATGTAGTTAATAGCTGGCTCAATACTTATTCAGTAAAAAAATGTTTCTCTATAATATCATTATGAGGAAAGAGGTCGTTCGACTTTAATGTTTGATTTCGACAGATTTTAGGTAATATTTATTTTAACAATATCTATAATAGAGTAGATGGAAGGGACGTGGTTTGAAGAATAAAAAGGCGAATGGTGCTCGTGGTTCAAGCACAACACTCTTAAAGTAAGGAAGAGAAGAACTGTGCTCGTGGTTCAAGCACGGCGTTCTGGAAAAAGAATGAAGATGATAAGAGGGAAGAGAGGTAAAGGAATCTGTACACACATATATATATATTATGAAATTACTCTATATTGTTAAGTTTAAAAATTCATACACTAAATTTAATGTAGTTAATAGCTGGCTCAATACTTATTCAAGTAAAAGAAATGTTTCTCTATAATATCATTATGAGGAAAAGAGGCTCGTTCGACCTTTAATGATTTAGGATTTTACGTCTTAACAAACGTCTTAGCATTTTGCAGACAGAGTCCCAAGAACAATAATCTTTAATATCGACCTTTTGATTCCAGGCTCAAGACCCCTTGGCAATCGGCTAACAAGAGGTTCAGCGAAAGATTGTCTGTTGGCTAATTGGAGGCTAACAAGAGACTGCCTAGAGACTGACGAGAGACTGCCTAGAGACTGACTAGCGCGCGAAGGGCCGAGCCCTTTTTATACCCAAGCCCGATACTATGGATATCAATTGAGCGTCTTTTCCTAATTCACCCTTCATTATTTATTGGTTAAAAAATGTAAAAATGTTATTATCTAGTAATTAAAATTATACTTAATCATATGTAGCGTTTGGTAATTCAGTTGTCTCGTTGTTGGCTGATTTATTAATAAAATTATGTTTTACTAAGAAATGGAAATGTTGTTATTGATTTCCTTTGGTATAATATAAGAATTTGGAAACTTAAAAGAATTATTTCATTCGGGCGTAGTAATCATTAAAGTTAAATAATACGAATAGATCCTCTTACAATTCTAAAGCGCATATACATTAGGATAGGCGGTTTGACAATAATATTTGAGGAATTATTTGCGAAATATGATGGCAATTATTTAATATCATTTAAAAAGAAGAAAAATAGAAGAAAGAAAGGGAATTATTTTCCTCTTCGAGTCTTTGTTTCAGGTCTTTGTTTAGTTCGCAGTACATGGGACAGCTATCACTCGATGATATCTATAACATAAACACATTCCAATATGTGCGCGGCTGTGCCCGAACGAAATCGTTCTTAGTCCCCGAGACAAATGAATTTATAAGCTAGCTCTAAATTTATTTCTTAAATTTTCTTATTCTCTCTTTTCCTATTTTATATATTTACTATGTCGATGTCTGCTTCAGTCCTATGTTAATGTTAATTTTATTTCAAAATATGCTATTTATGATTATTTTTGTGTTATTTAGTTGTTTGATAATCTATCGCTTACTAAACGAAGCAAGAAGGTAGAAGGAAGAGAGAGAAAGAAGAAGATAGATGATGATTCAGTAAATAGTTTCGAGTATTAATGATATTATATTATATTAACGATAAAAGACGGCAGAGGTACCTGTTGATTGCAGAGGTGTTTGTAGGAGGCGTTGCAGTTGGATTAGTCGATGATAGGTAAGGATTTGATTGGGTAGGAAAAGGTATGGTGAGTTTTGGTGAGAAGATAGGGAATTTTAATATGGTGGGACGTTACATCTCGGTTCGTGTTCTCAATCCGAGACAAAGTTACTACCCAGCAAACGCAATATTATATGTAACGTGCATGTTAGTTGTAATTTCCTACTCAACAATATAACTGTTATATAACAGTTTATATTGTTTTATTGTGTTATATTGTTGAGTAGGAAATTATAACTAACATACATCCCAGACAGCACACATATATCCATTGGACTTCCGTTATATGTTCATTTTTTTTACAAAAGACGTCCATAGGACGTACGTTTAACACAACTTTGGACATAGGACGTCCGATGTACGTCCATCGGACGTCCTACAGGTCCGATGTCCAATAAGGATATCCTTTGTTACGTCCTGCGGACTCCGCGTACTTTGAATTTGTTGTCAATAGGGCGGATTGCATTTTATAATATACGACCAAATATTCATATTCCGCGACCCTCCGAGAACAGTGACGTCACACACACAGATTTCTCTTTCTTTTCCTCTCTGCTTTAATCACCGGAGTTTCTTCTATTTCCGTCGGAAAAGATCCGCTGAGTCATTTTGGCCATATATCTCCTCTCCAAATAACCTTAAATAACTTCCCGTTCGGAGCAATAATTTTCTTTGAAGACGGACCGACCAGACAATCTTTCACGCTGTTATATGATATTACTAGCCTTTGATCTTCAGAAACTCATGCTTTCCCATGTTATTTATAAATTCTTATCGCGCACAACCTCTGACTAACCCTAGCGGAACCTTGAAATTTTTTATTGCCATAGATACCCGATCCTTTATCATATTTATCATATTTATCTAAAAACCCCACCTCCGAAAAGTTTGCAACAAAATCCTATGCCCATATTTGGACATAAACTTTGGAGCCTGACGCAACTTCCCAAACCCCACCTCTCGACCGAAGTGACGTTTTTGATAAAATGAAAAGGCTATGCCACTTCTACTTCTCCTCCCGACCGACCCGCAGCCAGGACAGAGTCTTCTTTCCAACACCCCTTCAGGGTCTCTTAATAACCAACCCTACTAGTGAGGCAGATCAGAGTTCTTCAGTTGTCAATTCTTCTGTGCAACGATTTCGTGCATCCTTGAGATATTGCGAGAGATCCTGCTGAAACCCATTTTCTTCTTTTTTTCTCTCTCTTTTCTTTTCTTTTCCTTTGCTTCCCTTTTTCTAGTCCCTTGGCATTCCGCCTTAATTGTTAAATCAGGTGCCAGTGGCCAATCTTTTCGATCACAGTCGGACATAACGAACACGGAATTTTGCTCAGACCGCGATTGTTTATACATATATGTATACGTACACATTATAAAAGCTTATAAATTTTATTTCATTGTGAACATCCGTCTAATTACTAATAAAACAAGTTGTTGTAATTGTAAGCCAATCACGTTTTCCAAATAATTATTCTCAATCAAAAAATTCTCCCTTCCCTCAACCGTCGCTCACGGTCCTATCCCAGGTAAAAGGATTCAGTTCCTTGACCTAAATAAAGAACCACCGACGTACGTCCGCGCCAGATAAAGGGGTAATTCCGATCCTTGGTCTGCACCGCAGACTTGCGAGTACGTCGGAGCTTGCGAAAGCAAGCGTCAAGTTGCGTTCCTCCTCCAGGACGTAACACCTTGTTACGTCCAATTTATGTCCACGGACGCAAATCGGACATACGGACATAAATTGGACGTGAAACGTACATCCATTGGATGTCCGATGCTGTCTGAGACGTTACATGTAATATTGTGTTTGCTAGGTAGATATCAAATTGTGGATATTCAGAGGCATGGATGTAAGAATATGGACGGAGCATAGAGCTGCGGGGGTGATCCATGAAGGGTGAGAGGAAAGAAATGTCTATTGTAACGGATATGAGAGACTAAGATGGCGACAGTCGCTAGTGTCACGGAATGTTATATATTTCAACATAAAAATAATTACTGTAAATGATAAAGAAACAACCATGGACGTAAGAATATATGGACGGAGCATAGAGCTGCGGGAGTAGTCCATGAAGGGTGAGAGGAAAGAAATGTCTATTGTAACGGATATGAAAGACTAAGATGGCGACAGTAGCTTCTTTTTTTATAACGGTGAGGAAATCCTCATGGATACGCCCGCCCTTTAGGGAGGGCGGGGGTTATGTCAAACTTTTACCGCCTAAAACCTCACCGGGATATCTACCTTTCGGACCGGTGTGGGGGGAGTCAGGGGAACTACTCCCGTATACTCTCCCTGACACCCCGGCCCCAGGACTCATTAGAAGAACCCGACGCCCAAGTCCCGCGCCCCCTCGCACAAAGGGAGTCGGAGGCGCGGTCCCGCTCGGGGGGCCGGTTACCCGGCTGGGTTGGCCTTCTGGTTATATTTACTGGAGGGAGGGGGGATACCCACCCTCCCTCCAAGTCCCCCTCGCTCGTCAAGGGGGACGGGGAGTGGGGCCCAGCCCTAACCAGGCCTCCACTCCCCTTTCCCGGTCCCTACCAACGCTCTGGAGGGAGGTGGGTTAGTCACCCGTCGCCCTCCCCCCCCGCGTTCAAAGGCGAGACCGAAGCAGCCGAGGAGGCTCCCGACGAATCGATGGCGACTCCTCGGCCGTCGCCACCTCGGGCTAGTGTTCCTAAAACATAGAGTCTAGCCACTCGGCCTAGTTTTGTAAAAACATGGCGGCAGTGTATACATGTATATGTGCATGTATGTAACTTGTGTTTACCGCGTTGTATACGATAAAATTGTCTGGCTACAAACTGTAATATTAAAAGTAAGTAAAATTATTTTGTATGTGGTTTCCAAGTTATAAAATAAAAAAATTAATGTATTTAAAAATTATAATGTTATAAAGATGTGTTATTCGTAATAAAAGTTATCTTAACCTCACATTTGTTCTGAACAGCACCTGAAATAAAACGATCTTATAATGCAATAAGAAGATATTTGTTTTTAGATTTCAACATGCCAACTTGTTGTGTTCCACACTATAAAAATTATTATCAGAAAGGCTTTTCACTCTACTCGCTTCCTGCAGATCTTACTAGAAGAGCATTGTGGATTAACAATATTGGGAGACAGGAATGGAATTCCTCGAAAAAATGGTTTATATGCGAGGTAGAAGATTAAGAATTCTTTTTTGTTATGAAATAATTCTTGTTTCATTTATGTATAGGTACACTTCTCTGATGTTTCATTTATGTATAGGTACACTTCTCTGATAATATGTGGAAGAAGCCTCGCATTGATGGAAAGCGAAAATTACTTGTGATATAAATTTATTTTTTTTTGTTGCTCATATTATCTTCAAATTAAATTTTTAATTGTAGAAATCTTTAATGAAATTTATATTTGCAGGCTGATACAAGAAATGTTACAAATGAAGAGTCAGCTTTGAAGATAGTCTCAGATAATAATGATGTTAATGGAGCTAACCCAAATCCTTCTATGACAAGACAAAACTCATGTGAAGACAACTCTGAAGTATGTGTCATAGAAGCAGAAAAACAATCATCTGCAATAGGAAAAATATCAAAACCACACGCAATATATTACGAAAATGATTATGATACTTTGAAACGAAGACTTCAAGATGCTGAATTGAGAGCACAAGAAGCTACATTGAAATTACAGCAAGCAAACGTAATTATAAACAGAGTAGAAAGATCAAGAAGAATATTAAAAAAACAGATAAGAAGATTGACAGATGAAAAGAAAAAAAGACAAGACAATTTAAGTCACAACTACCATTAAATGTGAGAAGAATATTCAACGACGATCAAATTCAAATACTTCTTGGTCAAAATCCACGTGGTTTTAAATGGTCCAACAATACAATCCTTAAGGCATTACAACTGAAGTTTTCATATAACAGCAATGGATACAACCAATTATTAACTCAAAATCTGCCTTTATCATAGCGCACTTTACGAAGAAAAAAAGAAGGCATTGACTTTGAGCCAGGGATATTAGAAGACGTTTTTGATATTTTAAAGAAACAAATATTTCTGTTTAAAGATGACCGAGAAAAAGATTCTGCGATTGCTATTGATGAAATGAGTATTGTATCTGGAAAAAAGTTTGACCCTTCCACTCTTTCACATATTGGCAATGCTAGTATGCCTGACAGTTCTGGTAGCGTTCTTTGCTAAATTTACATGAAATCCTGATTCTTTTCTCCTTTCTAGAATTATTTGAAACTGTTTGTGTATTCATAATTGTATAAAAATTATTCTTTCCTTTATAGGACAAGTATAGAAAGCAATGCATGCTTTAGTGATTATGATTGCTGGTATTTTTTCACGGTGGAAACAGGTTGTAGCTTATTACTATACGCCCAATGGATTTAACGGTGCTACTTTAAAAGCTATAATTGAAACAATAATTAAAAAAGCAGAATCCATTGGTCTATATATACATAGTATAACTTCCGACATGGGATCCATAAATCGAACTATGTGGAAAACATTTGGAAACATTTCAGGTGGAAAATCTTTCCTTCAGAATTCCGTATGCTATCCCGTAGACAACAAACGAAAATTATATTTTTTCGCTGATGCGCCACACCTCTTGAAAAATTTAAGATCTTGCTTAGAGAATAACAAAATAATAAAACTACTACAGACATTCGTGTATATACATAAATTACCTTCTTCTACCGTAAAATGCAAGCATTTGACTGAATTAGTTGAACTGCAAGAGAATTTATGTTTTAAATTAACTCCGAAACTTCAACACAGTGATATTACTCCCGGTAAATATAACAAAATGAAAGTTAGTAAAGCAAGAAATGTCATGAGCATGGATGTCAGCAGTGCACTTACATTTCTAGCTGAAGAAAAACATGAAATATTTAGAATACAAAACGATAGCATCATTTATAGAAGTTGTTTCCAAATGGTTTACACTTGTAACGTCACGATCTCAACGAGTAGTATTGGGTAAAACGTCAGGCAATGAAAAGAGCGAAGAAAAATATCATCAAAGTATTGAATTTCTTGAGGCCGTTATTGAACTTTTTAGAAATATTGCAATAGGTGAGAATCAATATTTCAAGCCCGTCCAATGTGGTGTCATGATTACCACAAAGTCTGTTATAGAGTTAACAAAATTTTTGATAAATGAAAGAAGCTATATATATGTCTTAGCAAGTCGATTTACACAGGATTGCGTAGAAAATTTATTTTCCGGAATAAGAGCTAAACATCCAACATTCAATGTCTTACAATTCAAGCAAGACTTGAAAGAACTTCCCACACAGCACTGCAATATTGCAACAATATTGAAGCAATATTATAATATCGTAGCAATATTACAAAATCACAAGGTTATTATATAATATTGCAGAAATATTATAACAATATTGCAGAATGATATATCAGATTACAATATCAGTGAAATATTACTGCAATGTTACAACGTGACTATTATATGGCAACATAGTGACAATATTACAACAATATTGCGCGATGATAAATCTCATTACAATATCATAGGAATATTGCCGCTATATTCCAGCATGATAGACCACTACGTAATATTTCTGAGTATCGCAGTAATATTTCAATGTGATATATCAATCTACAATATCGCAGGAATATTATAACAATGTTGCGGAGTGATATATCAGACAGATTGAATAAATCAGCATTATAAAGTGAAAAAACGTTAGAAAAATCGATATAAGATGAAATTCGTGATTTCGGCTGCAATGTTGAGTCCGTCATATTGAAAAAAAATTTAGAAAAAAAACTACCCACATATTTTTAAGGTACAAATATTAATAACGCGATCTTTGTAGTTTCCGGTATAAAATAACAATTTTTTTTAAGAAATCAATGATTTTCATAAAAGACAGACTGAAGAAAATACGCCGTTTTGTTTAGATCTAAATGGTCTAATTGTAAAAAGCTTACCCGAAAACTTTTAAAAAAATTATTCCCGAAAAGAATTATTAGCGATTTCTTTAATATTTGTTAGCTCAAAGTTTATAGTCACGCTATTGACGGTTGCTGTACTCAGTTTCAGAATCCTTTACTGACTAAGACATAAAATTTTTTCGATTTGCGAAAAGTTCTTATTGAGAACTTCTATAAACATTATTCTTTATGCTATCATTATATTTATATTTCTATTATTGAAAATTGTCTTATGTATATATACGTTAATATTACATCTGTATTTTTATTATAAAAATGATAATGATAAGATACTGATTTTAATAAAAACTTTTTAGCAATTATGGTTTATAGCATCTTACAAATCTTATAAAATTTGTGATTCTGAAGCTATGATTACCGAAAATATTTGCGTTTTGACTTAACAGATGAGCGATATATCAGACAATATCACTGGAATATTACATCACTGGAATATTACTGCAATGTTACAATGTAACTATCGTATGGCAACATAGTGGCAATATTACAACATTATTGCGCGATGATAAATCTCATTGCAATATCACAGGAATATTGCCGCTATATTCCAGTATGACAGACCGCCACGTAATATTTCTGATTATCGCCGTAATACTGCAGTGTGAAACAATTTATATACAGGGTGTCCCATTTTAATGTCACATCACAAATATCTCACAAGGGGAAGACGCATCAACCGGGAAACGGTTTGGAACGAAACTTACGGAGTTAATAATACTTGACTACTAATAACTCATGGTAATAGCATACGACGCAATACCTCTTCGTTTTCGAGAAAAAACGGTCTAAAGAAAAGAGCCAACAAAGTGTACGAGTTAATAAGAAGGGTATTCAACGAAGCGGCGTAGCACAGCAGCGAAGGTAACGAACTACCGAGCTGACGGCTGAGGTTCGACCCCTGCTGTATGGTTTTTTTTTATTCTGTATATTTTATTCTGTATAAGCATAAAAATGAAACAGAAAACATTAATAAGTAATAAAACTGCGTTTCTTAAATATATTAGTGTTTGTTAAATATACTATTAATAATTTAAATTGCGAAAAAACCGTAAATCTTATCTATAAAATATATAGTGTATGAGAAAATTTTTATATAATAATTGCAATACTATTAACTCCGTAAGTTTCGTTCCAAACCGTTTCCCGGTTGATGCGTCCTCCCTTTGTCAGAAACACTGCGTTAAATAAAACAATGTTTCAGACAAAAGTTGTTTGGCTTGAAGGAGGACAAGAAAGCGATAGCATTTTGTTTATAAATGGCGCCACTTTTGAGATATTCACTGACAATCAATTTTCATAAATGCAAATCCGAATTTTTTATTATATTTTCTTTTTCTATCAATTAATTTGAACAATTTTTGTCTGAAACATTTTTTTATTTGGTTAGTATTTTTTGAGATATTTAAGGAAAACTTGGTAACTTTTTCAACATTTAACTTACGATATCTCGCTAACTATTCGTCGAAAGAAAAAATAGTATTAGACTTTTTTACTTTACTTATTATCAAGAATATATTATTATAATAGTGCCCTAGCTTTTGTTAACTTATCGACCTTTGGAAATTTCAAAATTATTAAATTAATAAAAGTTAGGGCACCATTAATATATTCTTGATATTAAATAAAGTAAAAAAAGTCTAATACTATTTTTTTTGTCGACGAATAGTTAGCGAGATATCGTAAGGTAAATGTTGGAAAAGTTACCAAGTTTTCCTTAAATATCTCAAAAAATATTAAGCAAATAAAAAATGTTTCAGACAATAGTTGTTCAAATTAATTGGTAGAAAAAGAAGATATAATAAAAAGTTGGGATTTTCATTTATAAAAATTGATGGTCAGTGAATATCTTGAAAGTGGCGCCATCTATTAACAAAATGCTATCACTATCTTATGTCCCCCTTCAAGTCAAATAACTTTTGTCTGAAACATTTTTTTATTTAACGCAGTGTTCTAAAGCGTGGTCTACAATGGCCGTAAGCAATAAGAAGAAAGCATGAATAGTAAGAAATGAACCAACCACAGTTGATTATTTTTGTCATAATCGACTGTGATTGGTTTATTTCTTACCGCTTACGCTTACTTCTTACTGCTTACTGCCATTGTAGACCATGCTTGAGATATTTTTGCGAGATTTATGCCTAGGACATTAAGTATTTTTGCAATATTGCTGTGATATTTATGCAATATTTCAGTAATATTCCTGCAATATTGCAGCAACATTTAAGAAATATTGTAGCAACATTCCTGCACGATTGCAGTAATATTTCGGCAATATTTTGCAATTTTTCTGCAGTATTGTGGCTATATTTTATAGGTATCCCTGCAAGATTGTGGCGATATTTCAACAACATTGTGGCAATAGTCCTCTGATATTGTGACAATATTCCTAACAACATCATAACAATATTCCCGCAATATTTCTGCGAGACTTATGCCTAGGATATTAAATATTTCTGCAATATTGTTGTCACATTTATGCAATATTTTAGTAATATTCCTGCAACATTTCTGTAATATTCCTGCAATATTGCGGTGCTATGTGGGTTTGTATATCTCGCTATATTAAACCATCAAAATATACGAATTATGACCAAGATGATAGACAATTCCTATGTGACTTCTTGAATAAACAAAAAAAAGACACGTCGAACAGTTTCCCAATATTCCTACTGAGATTATTTCAAAACATATCTCTTTTAATAATAGGATTAAATGTATTATATAGTTTTGCTGGTTACATAGTACACAGTATTGCTAAGTGTGCTAAAAATGCAATATGCGCAAGTTGTTTAAATTCTGCAGGTTCAACTAAATATAATGCAAGTATTAAATATGCAAGATTTGTGTATTTAAGATGTTTTCGAAATAATACTTTATTTTTTGTAAGCAAAGATGTTTTTGAATATTTCATTGCCATGGAAATTGTTATTCTGCAATATCTTCCTCATTTAAATAATTTTAAGTGTAATTTAATTAGTTTCTTTATGGAAAAAATGGAAAATGTTTTTTGTGCGAGCATTAACAATTGTCATCAATTAAGTTTGAAAATTATGAGACGATTTATTGCATATAGGATGAAAATTGTGTGTACAAAGGGGCAATTAGTAAAACCAATACACAATAGCAAAACAATGGCCATTCTATTGTTACGTAATGTTACAAAATGTTTATATTTGTTCATTTGAATTATAAAAACGAGTTACACAAACTCTTTGTACTTTTCTTATTTCACCCCTTTCCCCACTTCTAAATATGTGAGAATGTTTCTCAATTCTATTTTACCTCATTCACTATCCTATTTATTGTAGCAAATAAATATTACATCTGATCGCGAATTTTCACGGCTTGCTTATTTTTTATATTTCTCTTCTGTCTCACAACATTTTTGTCTCCAATTTTTTACATATACATACATCTAGATAAAAATATATAGAAATTTAGACAGATTCTAGGTAAAGATATCTATCTATTACATTTTTAAATTATTACGTTCTGAATAACAATTTCTATTGGTTCTGCCATGTTTTTACAAAATTCGTTTCGACCAATAAAAACGAACACGTACCGTGGTCAGACTCTATGTTTTAGGGACACTACCTCGGGCCCGCTTCCCACCCCCGGGGAGCGTCGTCTCCGCCGTGCCCTATGGCGGGCACCGGGGCGACGCTCTCATTCGGCGGCCTCCTTCTGCGACATAACGTCTTTGCAGAAGAAGGCCGCCGCCTTCATACCTCCTCGCTCCCGCACATGGCCTTGACCATGCGCAGGAGCGAGAGGGCCTCCACTTCGCAGTCCACCGCTCGGGCCAGGACACCGCGCTGGCGACAGTAGCTAGTGTCACGGAATGTTATATATTTCAACATAAAAATAATTACTGTAAATGATAAAGAAACAACTGATATTAATATTATTAATCAATTAAATTTTTCAAGGTAAATTACTTCTATGATTAAATCTTTTGAATAGAATCCTGACATAAAAGGAAAACCACATAATGAAAATAAAGTTAAATGAAATCTTATTATAGTGAAAAGAATAAACTCATTTAATCCTTCTAAAAGACGAATATCCTGATTGTTATTTATTAAATGAATGACTACCCCAGCTGTTATAAATAATAATGATTTAAAAATTGCATGGGTTAATAAATGAAAATATGAAAGTAAATTAAATCATACTCTTAAAATTATTATTATTAATCCTAATTGGCTCAGTGCTGATAAAGCAATAATTTTTTTTGTCATATTCAAATCTGATTATTAGACCAGAAACATATAAACATTGTTAATATTGAGATTAATATTAACAAAGTATTTACTTCATTATATATTAAAAATTTATGAAATTTATTTCATAAATTAAAATTAAATTTATGAAATTTATTTCACTACAATTGGTCTGTTCTTTGTAATTCCACACCTGAACTAGTGCAATAAGCTAGAGCAGTGCTGGGAATTAAGTGAGCAGCGCGAGCCGATTTCAAAGGCAACGCTCGCGCTTCCCCCACTACCTCTCGAAGCGCGGCGAGCTGCCGATCGCGCGTGAGACGCTCTGCCTCAGAAATGGTCTCATATACGATATAAGATGAGATCGCACCCTCCGTAAAACCAAAATTAAAATATTTATTTATCCTTACAAAATAATTCTTACTCTCATTAATGATGAAATATAACGCTTTTATTTCTAATATAATAAATTCTCTTTAATAATAATATAGTGATGGCAATGATTAAGAATATAATTATTAAAGTTTTGTTAATAGATTTCCACATCACCCATGAGGTATTATTGTTAGTGCGTCTTTTTTTAAGAAAATCCGATTAATATTTTTATAAAAATTGGCCATTTTGCGCTCTGTATTTATTTTCCTTCTTTCGTTTTTATATTTCTCACGATGTAGCATTTCGCTTTCCTGTTGAGCCATATATTTCATTTTCATTAATTTTTAGTGGAGTAGGCCTACTGGGAAAACTGCTTAAAAAAAAACGCATCAACAATAGTACCTCATGGGTGATGTGGAAATCTATTGGCAAAACTTTAATCATTATATTCTTAATTATTGTCATCACTATATTATTATTAAAGAGAATTTATTATATAAGAAATAAAAGCGTTACATTTCATCATTAATGAGAGTAAGAATTATTTTTAAGGATAAATAAATACTTTAATTTTGGTTTGACGGAAGGTACGATCTCATCTTATATCGTATATGAGACCGTTCCTGAGACAGAGCGTCTCACGCGCGATCGGCGACTTGGCCGCCGCGCTTCGAGAGGTAGTGGGGGAAGTGCGGGCGTTGCCTCTGAAATCGGCTCGTGCTGCTCACTTAATTCCCAGCACTGAGCTAGAGTGAGAAAACCTATATTTGTGTCACTTTAACTCATAGCACCAGTTCAACAGTGCAGCTACAAAGATCAGATCAAATCATATAATAGTCTCGGTTGGCAGAGGATAATGACGTCTCACGATGTGACAGTAGACCTTAAATATGAGAGACCAAGATGGCCGACGATAGATTCCTCTCACTCTTCAAGGCCAATACCCTACGCTTATAAAAGCACTTTATACTCCGTCCATATATTCTTACGTCCATGTTCAGAGGCAGATATGGTGTCTCTCAGCAGCAGCATCGTATACGCCTGTGAAACAATCGAAAGCGATGACAGGCATATACGCAGGACGTACTGCACAGCGCGAGCAAAGCGAAGGAGCGAAGGAGAAATGGTAGGAAATGTTTCGATGTTGCATCCTTATCGCTAGTCGCATGATTGAGAGAAAAAGCATTACCAGATGTGGTACGGTTAGTGGTGTCCCCAATAGCTGTCTCACTCACTCTACGCTTGAATGCAAGGAATATGAGTGAGACAGCTATAGGGACACCACTGTCTCTATACCAGGTCTGTAAATATGAAACCGGAATTTGCCCGTAAATGATCCTAGCTGTCAATGTAGTTACCGTCAAACCGCGTCATTGACGTCATTTCCATTTGTTGACATCTGACAAAGATTTTTAACTCACAACAATACAAGTTTCATACAACAGCATAGTTTGTAATAGCGTTGAACATGTCGAATTTTGTGCCTGGAAGCTACGATTTGCAGACAGCATGGATTTTTTGTTACCATTTGAAGAAAACTGCTGCAGAATCGCTGCAGAATCGCATCGAATGCTTGTCGAAGCTTACGGTGAGCATGCTCTTGGTAAATCATAGTGCTTTGGGTGGTTTAAAAAATTTAAACGTGGCGATTTTGACGTGAGAAACGAAGAATGTGGAAGACCACCGAAAAAGTTTGAAGACAGCGAATTGCAAGCATTGTTGGATGAGGATGACGCTCAAACGCAACAACAACTCGCGGATCAATTAAATGTGACACGAGAAGCCGTCTTCATACGTTTGAAAGCCATGGGAAAGATCCAGAAGATGGGAAAATGAGTTCCACATGAACTGAATGAAAGACAGCAGGAAAACCGAAAAACCACTTGCGAAATGCTGCTCGCCAGGTACAAAAGAAAGTCATTTCTCCATCGAATTGTGACTAGCGATGAAAAGTGGATATATTTTGAGAATCCTAAGCTTAAAAGATCATGAGTAACTCCAGGCGAACCATCGATATCGACTGCAAGGCCAAATTGCTATGGACGGAAGACAATGCTCTGTGTTTGGGATCAGAAGGGTGTGATCTATTATGAGCTGCTACAACCTGGCGAAACCGTTCATACTGAACGCTACTGACAACAATCGATTTGAATCAAGGTTTGCGTGAAAAACGAACAGAATATAAAAAAGGCAACACAAAGTGATTTTGCTTCATGATAATGCACCATCACACACAGCAAAACTGGTCAAGGAAAGGATTGAGGCGTTTAGTTGGGAAATACTTTCGCATGCGGCTTACTCACCAGACTTGGCTCCGTCCGATTACTACTTATTTGCATCGATGGGATACGCACTTGCTGAGCAGCGCTTCACTTCTTACGAAAATGTACGAAAATGGCTCGATGACTGGTTTGCCTCAAAAGAGCAACAGTTTTTTTGGCGTGGCATCCATAAATTGTCAGACAGGTGGGAAAAATGTATAGCTAGCGATGGGCAATACTTCGAATAAAATGTTTTTTATCATTTCCATACAATAAACATGTATTTTCTATACAAAAGTTCCGGTTTCATATTTACACACCTGGTAGGTGTCTCGTTCATTCTAATAGCCATGTATCGCGTTTTCTTCTTTTCTCCTTAGCAAAAATGCTAATTAAGGAGAGAATCCTCTCTGTAGGCCAAAAAAGCTATTTTCACGAATTTTTTTTCAGAAGATAATCGGACGATTGATTACAAACTTGGTAGAAATAATAATATATGTTTAAATTAAGAATGAATTTTTATAGTGTTATATAAATAATAATGTAGCAGATACACAAAAAAATAACGTGACGTGTTTAGGTGCGCGCTGTTTCACGGCTCTCATAAAATCTCAAGATACGACTGGGACAAAAATGCAAATAAGATAATTAATCTACGAACTTGCCGCTATAGTCTGAACTAGGAAAATAAAAAACGAACTACTTTTTTAAATTAATTTTAAGGCATTTAAACGTTATATTTAAAAAATTGCCATAAAAATCGACAATTTTACGTTAAAAATATTTTATTTGCAAGAAAACAATGTTTCATAAAATTATATTTCATAAAAAAAACTTATTTTATACCGTAAGATATGTTAAATTATACAATTGTTTTGAGACGCTCGAATACGTTTTTACTTTTGGAAAGACTGCGGGAAGCAGGGAGAATAAATGCCACATCCTCCTTACAATGCTACTTAAAATATAGGCTCCACTATTGAAAATAACAAAAAAATATTAGGAGACTTAATAATAAAAAAAATTACAATAATAATAACAAGACGCTATACAACATCTCCTGAAACCAGAGAGAGGAAAAAACCTTTTTTTTATATAAAAAGGTTGATTGATCGACTTCAGCATGCAGTTACATATTCGAAACATATCTCTCTATCGTGTGAACTAATGAAATTAAAAAATATTAATTTTTTATATTTATTTTTAACATAAAACTGTTGATTTTTATGGCGAATTTTTAAATATAAATTTTAAATACCTTAAAATTAAATGCTTTAAAATTAATGAAAAGTAGTTCGTTTTTTATTTCCCTAGTTCAGACGATAGCGGCAAGTTCATAGATTAATGAGGGAAGCCCTCATTAATCTACGAACTTGCCGCTGGCCGGAAGGCCGCCATTGCTGAGGCGAATAAAAGAGCCTGGGAGCAATTGGTGGACTTCTTGGACGAAGATTCGTGGGAGCGCCCTTATAAACAGACAGTCGGTAAGATTCGTCCGTGGGCATCCCCACCAACTGAGTCTTTGGACCACCAGGCCCTCGAGGGGCTCCTAGACACCTTCTTCCCGAGGGTGGATGGGGGCCCCCCCGGATCCCCGTCCCCGAGCGAGAGGACGGGGAGTAGAATGAGGGTCTAATTCCAAAAGAGTTCGCCAAGGCCAGGAAGAAGCTCGGGGACAAGGGCAAAGCCCCTAGCCCCGACGGCATTCCTGGCCGCGCTTAGGCTCTCGCCCTCGGCGAAAGGAACTTGTCCGCGGCCACGCGGGAAGTACTCAACGGGTGCCTCAGGGAGGGGGGTTTCCCCCCAGAATGGAGGAGGGCCAAATTGATCCTCCTCCCGAAGGAGAGCAAAGCACCCGGAGATGCGCCGGCCTATAGGCCGATATGCCTGCAGGACGAAGCGGGCAAGATGCTGGAACGCATCGTTACCGACCGCCTCGTCCAGCATTTGTCCTCGGAAGGGCCGAATCTCCACGACCGGCAATATGGGTTCAGGCCCGGACGTTCCACGCTGGACGCAATCCAGTACGTCCGGGATCTGACCCGCACGGTAGTGGAGGAGGCAGGCGGGTGTTGCTCGTGGTGTCATTAGACATTACGAATGCGTTCAACACGCTGCCCTGGCCGGAGATTGGATGGGCCCTCGAATATCACGTAGTGCCCGTCTACCTCCGGCGCATCCTCGCGGCCTACTTCGAGGACAGGGACCTCGTCTACTCGAGGAGAGGCGGGGTCCAGGGCCGGCGCACAGTGGAACGCGGTGTCCCGCAGGGGTCGGTTCTCGCCCCCTTGCTATGGGACATCGCGTTCGACAGGGTGCTTCGCTCTCACTTCCTCCCTGGCTGCCACGTCATCTGTTACGCAGATGACACCTTAGTGGCCGGGGGGAGAACTGGGGGATACGAGGCTCGCCTCCTCGCGGAGGCGGCACTCGTATCGGTGGTGGGCACCATCAGTAGCCTGGGACTGAAAGTGGCGCCCCAGAAGACGGAAGCCGTCTTTTTCCATGACGGCAGCCGTGGGGCGCCGCCGAAGTCTCGGGTCCTGGTGGATGAGTCCCCGTCCACGTCGGGCCCGTGATCAAATATCTGGGCTTGACGTTGGACGGCCGCTGAGACTTCGGGCCGCACTTCAGGCATCTGGCTCCCCGGGTCCGCAAAACAGGTCTGGCTCTGGCCAACCTGATGAGGACCCAGGGGGGCCCAGGATGGAAGGCTCGCCGCCTATACGTTGGTGTCGTGCTCTCGATCGCCCTCTACGGGGCGCCCATATGGATGCCCCAGCTACTGTCTAGCCGCCACAGCAAATGCCTGTTGCGGCAGGCTATGCGGGCAGTGGTGATGAGGACGATTCGGGGATACGGCACCGTGTCGTACATGGCGGTGACCACTCTAGTCAGCTCCTCCCCCCGTGGAGCTCCTAGCTCACGAGAGGTATATCCTCTACTGGAGAGTGAAGGAGCTCCACGAGGAAGGGGAGGGTCTAACAACCAGGGGCCTGCCGGCCCTGAAGTCATAGGCCAGAGCCCGAATATTAGAACGGTGGTCGGCCATATTGGCCGACCCCGGGGGACCCGAGCTCCGAACGGCCGAGACCGTCCGCCCCTGTCTGCCCGAAGTGGCGGACAGGAGGGAACAGGGAATCACTTTCCATCTAGCGCAGGTGCTGACGGGACACGGGTGTATCGGGAAGTATCTGTGCCGAATTGGAAAGGAGCCCACCACCGGCTGTCAACACTGCACGGAGCCTATGGACATGGCACACCATACTGACGACATGCCCAACATGGAACCAGCAGCGCCATGTCCTGGCCCAGGCGGTGGAGTGCCGCGTGGAGGACCTCTCGCTCCCACGTATGGTTCGCGCCATGTGCGGTAGCGAGGAGGCATGGGGGCGGCGGCACCTTCTGCCGCAATGTCATGTCGCGGAAGGAGGTCACCGAGTGAGAGCACCGCTTTGGTAACCGCCGCAAGGAGCGGCGACGAAGGCGGCGCTTCCCAGGGACGGGTGCGTGAAGCCCACCCATCTCCCCCAGGCGTCGGTAGGAGTAGGTGAAGGGGGAGTGGAAGCCTGGTTAGGGCCGGGCTCTACTTCTCTGCCCCCCTTGATGAACATGGGGGCGCGGAGGAAGGGTGAGGTGTCCCCTCCCTCCAGTAAGTGTTACCAGAAGGCCAACCCGGCCGGGTAACCGGCCGAAGACCGCGCCCCCGACTCCCTTTGTGGGAGGGGGCGCAGTACTAAGGCGGAGGGCTCTGAGTATGAATCCTGGGGCCGGGGTGTCAGGGAGGGAATACGGGAGTAGTTCCCCTGACTCCCCCCACCACGGTCCGAAAGGTAGACACCCTAGTGGGATTTTAGCCGGTAAGAGTCCAGCATAACCCCGCCTCCCCCCCAAAGAGGCGGAGGTATCCATGAGGATTTCCCCACCGTTATCAAAAAGAAAAAGAAAAAGTTCATAGATTAATTATCTTACTTGCGTTTTTGTCCCAGCCATATCTCGAAATTTTATGGGAGCCGTGAAACGGCGCGCGCCTAAACACGTCACGTTATTTTTTTATGTATCTGCTACATTATTATTCATATAACACTATAAAAATTCGTTCTTATCAGTTAAATATATATTATTTCTACCAAGTTTGGAATCAATCGTCCGATTAGTTTCCGAAAATAATTCGTGAAAATAGTCTTTTTTTAGCCTACAGAAAGGATTCTCTCCTTAATCGGTATTTCTGCTAAGGAAAAAAGAGAAAAGCGCGATACATGGCTATTAGAACGAACGAGACTCCTACAGAGACAGCGGTGTCCCTATAGCTGTCTCACTCATATTCCCTGCATCAAGCGTAGAGTGAGTAAAATAGCTATTGAGGACACCACTAACCACTCGCGGATTAATAATAAGTGCCCGTTTTTTTGCAACTTTCGGAACTCATCCCGACTCGAGAAGAATGAGAGTCACTGCTCCACCTGCGGAGCACACCTGCGCAGTGACTCACAACGAAAGCCGAGAAATGAAATATACGCGGTGGGACATATTATAATAATACAGACTCAGATGAAATGAATACTCCAGCATTAAATGGAAATGAGGGAACATAGAACAGACAAGAATCATCCGATGTAAGTCTTATACTCTGGGAAAAAAGTAGAGATAAATAAAGATGTTTTTAAAACAATACGAATATATACGAATATAAAACGAACTTAATTAAGAGAATTAAGCTGCATTACGATAGTTACGATTCTGTTATACATTTATATGTGATTTATTGTTTCAGCAACAGCCATCTTTTATAGCAGAAAAGCAATGATATTAGATACAGAAGCAGCTGTTATAGCGAATTTTGAATTTTTGGGACATACAGACATGGACATGGAAGAGGAAGAAGGAGATGGAGAGGATGAAATTTATGATGCAAATACAGATACCAAACCAAATAAAGTAACGCTTGCTTTTCTACTACATCTTGCGTTTTAATGATATTGTTCATGCTATTTGTTAACATAATTTCTTATTTTTCAGGCATCTCTTCGTTTCTGCTCTTCTTTTCATATCTTCTTCATTATATTTTCCTTTGTTCTTCTCAAAAATATATTTTGCTATGTACGCATGTGATTACAAGATGTAAAATATTTCCATATATCAATATATCTTCTCATATATAGAAATAATAGAATAAATACAAATTATGAAGCTCTTTCTCTCTCGAGAGGGTTTTTTCCCTTATATTTTTATGTCATATGAAAAGAGAGATCGTGATGGCCGTGTAGACCAGAGCGGATATCAGAATATCAAAATACATGTTGAACCTCGAAGTTCAACCTACTACAATGTAAGAAGCGAAAAGATAAATGTGACGTTCTTCACACCATTGCCATATCTGCCGAGCGATGTCGGATAAGACAAGATGTTGAACCGAGCCGAACTTATTGATATAAGAGAGAGCGGTGGTGTTATCTACTCGAAGAAGAATATTGCAATCGTGAAGGTGAGCTGCAAAGCATTTTAAGGCATAGAAGGCCGCCTTTAGCTCGAGAGCATTAATATGAAGCGATTGATCCTCTTTAGTCCACCAACCATGAATGCGTTGATCCGCGCATGAGGCTCCCCAACCTGTGAGAGAAGCGTCGGAAAAAATTTCGCAGACATAAGGGTCAGAACGGAATGTATTGGACTAGTTAGTATCGGAGAGAGTCCGAATCCACCAGCCAAAGTCTTCTCTCAAGTCAGCAGAGATAACCAAATGTCCGTTATAATTTCTAGAATTTTCCTCGAGAGCAAGAAATTTCTCTCGTTCGAAACGTTTGGTATACAAAAGACCATATGGTACTGCAGGGCAAATTGACACGAGGGAGCCAATCATGCTCGCAAACTCCCTAATGGAGCAATGTGATTTATGTGATATGGTTTGCACTAATGCCAGCAGGTTCTGGCACCTGTCCTCAAACGGGATAAGACTCGCAGGTCTATTAGGTTCCGCCGACACTTCGCTGAATGTCGGTGCCTCATGACGCCTTAGAGAATCAATCAATTCGTGTAGAGTATGTAATAAGTTCTCACGGAAGAAGGTACGGTGAGTCCCAAATTCCCTTGAAGTATGCCGTAGTAACCTTCGAGAGGAGGTAGAGCGTGAGCGTGACCGCTCTGAGAGGTTAGAGCGTGAGTGCACTCGTCGAGAGAGATTAGATCGCGAATGCAATCGCCTATGAGGGGATCTCTCCCGATGTCGATGCTTACTTTTCCTCGAAGAGTGTGGTGAGCAGATCCTCTTGTGCCGCGGCATATTGGCGTGCTGTATACAAAGATTTAATTACTAAAGGAATATGTCTGAAGAAAACTCTGTCAACTCTGCAAGAACAGAAAACACAATGACGTGGCACGCGTGCGCGGCGCAGCGGGACGCGCATAGCGTGACCGCGCGTTCCTTTTTTTGAGCGAGAGCTAGAAACTCTGTTTATAATGCAGGCAGGGGCACCACTACCTAATTATCCATCCGGACGAGACTCGATGGCATAATTATAAGTAATTCGTCAATGTCCTGCTTAGGACATGACATCCTTCCCTCCTTGGGGAAAGAAAATGGCATTCCCAAACGGCGTTTTCTTCATTGATACGTTGTTACGATGTGTTTATATCCCACTTACAATAATAATATAATCGTTGTTTTTTTTTGTTAGTTTAACCCGCTATTTTAAGTATTTTATTATAGTACCCCTTTTACAATACGTTTGTCCTTATTTGCTACTGGTACTTGAAATTCTTGACAATTTTTGGATATTGATGGTATTTGTGGTATAGTGTACACTGGCATTTGTGTTTTATTCAGTGCTTTTTTGTCCTTGCACTTTCTTATTACAATAGCTGTGATAATAATCGTAATTATAATTATAAGTGCGCTTGGTACTGTCGTGTATACATATATCATGTGTGTATTTTGCGGATTATAATACTGGTTTATATTAACTTGTATTTCTAACAATTCGTTCCCTAATCTTGTTAATTCTTCAGGATGTTTTATAACCTTTCTATTTTTTAGATGGGATATTTTATTTATTGTCCTAGTCGCGTTAATTGTAGGAGGGGTTAAATTAAAATTCGGCGCGTAGATTTGAATTTCTCGTGCTTCATTGCGTTCTTGTGTTTGTATAGTGACACTATCTATTGTAAATTTATATATTTGTGGGTTTGAAGTAACTTTATTTTTGAGATTTTGCTGACGAAATCTGTTCGATTTTTACAATGTGCTTTTACTATCTGTTCTTTGTGGGTCGCGATTAATGCGTTGATATTTTCTAAAGCTATTATGATCGGATGTGTAGTGCGTAAGTATTTAATTGTACACGATGTTGTAGATTGAGGTGCAGCGAACATTTGTATCTCACACGGTGTTTCCGTATCTATACGGTAAGTAGGTTTATTTTGTGTACAAGTGTAGTGATTATTAGTTTTTATGCACTTGTCTAGTTCACTTTTATCTGACACTAGGTAAGTGTGATTTTCTACGTTAACCGCTATTTTAAGATACGAAATCTTTGTTACCGCGAATATGTCTTCTTGGACATGAGTAGGTACGGGGATTATGTTTATAATATCGTACGTTGGATACGTTATCAACGGTAATGTAGGAGTGGTAAAAATATTTTCAGTGTCGTGATACGCGTTGATTGTTAAATATTTACTAATTTGCAGCCAATTTGCTAATTCTGGAGCTACTGGCAGGTGTACGTCTTGTCTCCCCCGTGGACGCCACCTTGCCGTGGTGGGGGAGCTTGCGTGTCCCGATGAAGTACAGAGCTGTGCCGGCGGGGGTTTTGACCCTTGGCAGGTTCTACCAAGCCGGAGAGGTCTGTACAGAGGGGCCAGACTAAGAGCGTCCTTATTCACTCTCGGAGGGGTAGCTGCCTCCGAGTTTCATACAGGAACCGGAGGGCCGCACTTGTACTTGTACTTGTGCGACCCAAAGGACCCTACAGCGCGGGCAGAACGGGCTAGTGAGCCGGGTGAAGGCAACCGTTCTAGGGGAAGGAAAACCCTGATTGGAAACCCGTACTTATCAGGACGTACAACCTGACACGATTGCGAGGGGCCAGGGTGCTTCGGCATTCTGGTACAGGGGGCTCAGGCATCCCCGGCAGACCCTAGCCTACCACACCGTAACCCTAGGTCATGTTTCTGGGGCCGGGGGTCTTGCCTTAACCGGCTGGACCGCGAGGCGGGTCCTCTATAAAACATCACGTAATCCTACGGTTGAGGCATGCCACGCTTATGGGATGAATGGCAGATGCGTGACCTGTCGCTAGTGGTTCCTCACCCTGGGCACCTGGCGAACCAAGGGGATACGCTAGCCTTAGCCCGAGTAATGCGGGGATTCTACCCGGGGTCGACGCCCACTTCCTGCCGCACTCGTGGGATCCAATATGCAGATTTCCAATTTTAACAAAAACAAAAACTCCGAGCTTTCGGGCTCAAAGTCCCGTAGGGACGGGTGTAGCAACCCGTCCGAGGACTCACCACCCTCGTCAGAGAGTGATTTTTATGAAGTAGGAAAGAGGGGTTTAGAGGTGGCAGGGAATCGACAGGCAGGTGCCACCTCCCCACCCCCTGGGGAGGAAGAGCTAGCTGGCCCCAGTGGACTAGCCACTGGGGCGCAGCTAACAAGTGAGGGTCGACCACCGCCCTTGGGGAGACGCCCCTCCGACCGCGGAGGTGGCGAGGTGAGCTCGCCGGGCAGGCCAAAGTGAGCGGCCACCCAACGTGGGAGCAATAACTCGTTGGGGTCTGGGGACCCCAATCTAACACCGATGACTGCCAAACCCGGTCCCCTCTGCTCTAAGAGGGGGAAGGATAAGTCCCTCTCCATAGACAAGGAGGAGCAGCAGTGGCGGTCCGGGAGCCGGGATGCTGGGACCTCGGGACCTGCGGGGGCTGTGGGGGCATCGGAGCGGACCACCGGCAGACCGGTGGTCCTCTCTGATGTCCTGCTCTCGCAGGGCTCGAGAATCCCGGCATTCCGACTAAGAGAGGGGCAACGAAAGAGGACCAGGGAGCCGGTAAGCTCCAACGGGAGCAGCAGTAGCGGCTCTTGCGTCGTCACCGAGGGTCCGGCGCTGGTACAGGTGAAGAGGGGACGCGGTAGGCCCATCGTCATCGGACTAAGCGTCGGAATAAGGGAAAGAAAGGCGGCGGAAGAGGAAGAAAAGAAGGAAGCAGAGAGGGTAAGACTGGAGAAGGAGGTCTTGACCCTACTGGACGCAGGAATTCTTCGGTCCCTGGGAGACAGACGTCCTATGGAGGAAGTCTTTCGGGACAGTGCCGCCATGGGGCTCTTAAGGGAGGCAAGGGTGAGTGAGCTGGCCTCGGAGGTGGGTCGCGCTCTGGGCATGATTCGGCTGGTCTCACGAAGGTCCAAGACTCTGAAGGAGACCTTCGTAGGAGCGCTGAATCGTGCCGTGGGGGTCTCCGAGGCCGTGCTCACCACCCTGATGGCCATGGTGGCCAGCAGAGAAAAGTATGGCGATATCACCCTGGCCGAGAGGGAGGCGATGGAACTTCGAGAGGAGCTCAGAAAGACTAATTAGAACAGAATAGGCGGCTGGCGGAGGAGCTGGAGTCGATGAAGCGACATGTCGCTTCATCGAGTCCTAAGGCTCCTCCGGTGGCTGCCTCTTCTCCACCAGTCCTGGCAACGAGCAAAAGGAGGAGGCTTTCCTACGCGGAGGCAGCGGGAGGCTCATCATCGTCGGTCATATCGAGCGAGGAAAAAGTAAGGGGCAAGAAGAAGGATGGGGAGAGGAGGAAGAGACTACGGAAGAAGAGAAGAAGAATAGACTCTTCCTCCACTCCCACATCTATTAGGACAATAGGAAGGGAGGGGGAATCTCTGAGGCCCCACCGATATTGGACGACGTCATGGAAATGACAAATGAGGCTGCACCACCCAGGAAAAGATGAAGGGCGCTGCAAAGGAGTTGGATGCAGACATGCGGGCCCGGTTCCCGGACTGCGGCTGTGAGACGGGGGTTAATCGGCTTATAGCTGTTATCGACTGCCTTGCAGCGGCTGGTCCGGTAGGCGGGGCAGCTGAGGTGGTAAGAGTTTTGCCCACCCTGAATGTT